ATAGGAGAGAGATTTCGTGACTATTCGTGTGATCTCGCATATTTTTTAGATTCAACTTTAAATGATTGATCATAATCATAAATTATGTTTCTATTAAAATTTACTCGATATTAATCGAAGAATGAGATTTGGACTGCACGTGAATTTTATAATTTCATTTCCTTTAAAAGAAGAAATTTGAAATGCGATCTCATAGATCCCATAAAAAGTGACGACAAGATGCTTTAATTTCTTCAGTAATCTGTAGCAATCAAAATTCTATTTACGATATTCCTTTTGCATGCACCATTTGTTAGTCAATATTAAAAAAATGGAAATTCTAAAAGGCTACTCTTTAGGCAATGTGAGTCCTCTTCTCGCACTTTCATATAGACAATCAAAGCAAGTAAGTGTTTACGCCGTATACGTATTTCATCAAGAGTAATAAAACATCGCCGAGAGAAACAGCCTCTCGTTTTGTTATGTTACAAAAAAAATTTCGAAAACTATGAATTATTTATCCAAAAAGTTTGTCAAAGCAGCCATGGCAGTAAGGCTTGTCGTTTTGCTCTTTGAACGTCCCCTTGTTCAACTGTTTTAGGCAAAACGCACATACGAAGTGCTCGGGATGGAATTTGCGGAACATTGCTGTTATGCAGCGACCTGCAAGAAGTGAAATGCAAAAAGACGTGTGAGTATCATATTAAAAATCTTAAATTTAAAAAATCTAGCACACTCACCGGTAATAGGTTTGTGGCATCCTGCACACAAGGATCCTCTCTTGGCGTGATAGTGTGTCTCGCAATACGGCAATCCCTCATGATCGAAAAAGGAGCCTCCCTGAAACTTCTGTCTGCAATCCTGCAAAATAAATAACGTGGACGTGTTTGTAAGCACGTATAGAAAAAAGCTTGACATACGAGAAAATATAAATTTAACAATGTTGCAATCTCTGTAAATTTTAGAACAAATCTATTTCATTTAAAAGACGAGTATACTTGTATCGCAGTCTGTGAGAAAAACGTTGAAAAGATATGCGAGATTTTATGTAATATACTGGATGTTTTCAATAAAACACTATCATTTCTCTCATGTCAGAATCCATAATGATAGTTTTTGAAAGAAAAATGTTTGCAAAAGTTTAAAAATTACAAGAAATAAATAATTTGGAAACACCCTGTATACACTATGTTCTATATTATTATCCCTCGTTTCGGTCAGATCTCGTCTTGAATAAAACGCGAAATTCATGTTTGAACAACATTGAATAAAAACTTCAGCTTGACATGCGACGTTTTGTAATTATCAGTACATAATGATAAAATGTATAGGATTAGCAGAATTAAATTTTTCTTTTTCCCGATTTGCTTTAACTTCCTTGATGCATAAGGTGCAATTATATATACATAATTGTAACACACAATTACACGCATATGCATGCGTGCATGTGATATCATATTTAATCATTCAGAAAGTTTTTCAAAGAGAAACCATTTTGATCGAGAAAAATTAATCGTTTTCTTTCCTCAAGATAAATTTTTAATATCGATTCGATTTATCTGATGTTACTATAGAATCTAAAGAACGAAAACATCCATCTGTGACGATGGGCATCGTCGTCTGTAATTCAGCTTGGCTCTTTCCCGTGTTGCCACAAGACGCACATCTCCGAGTCCCTGTGTATGTAGATGAGTCAATCGACTCTTGGTGTCATGTGTGTCTTTTTGTTTTGGGGGTTGTTTTCTTTTTTTGGGGGTGGGGTGGGGTGAGGAGAGGTTTATTTTTTACTTCTCATAAACAGTACTAATTCGCGCGGCCCGACAAAATTTCTTTCCATTGTCAAGAGCTCGGCACAATGTCAAGGCGCGAGCTTGAAAACGAAAGCAGCTAGTTCGTACTTGTGCTTGCCGAGAGTATGCCCTGTGATGCAAAGGGTGTTGTATACGATGCGTGTGAAAAGTGTATATGTGTGTTTTGCGATGCGGAATTGAGACGGTGATTCGCAGTCGGCATTTCTCCTCTCTCGGTCTTCCTCGGCGCCAAGCTAAATCACCTGTCGGGGGATCAGTAGGGGGTGGCTCCGCATTCATAGAGCCAGAGGGCATACAGGGGGCAACATATCGTGCGGGGGGTAACTGGACGATAGTGACAAAGAAATTCGGCGTGAGGAATTGGCACGACGACGTGAGGCGACAGGATCGAGCGGTCCTTACGCCTCTTGTTCTTCCTCTTCCTCGTCGTCGTCCACCCCGACGCACTTGGGGCACACCGGCTGCCCCTCCATCGCGTAGAAGGACTTTCCGGAGACTGGCTTCTTGCAATCCTGTAATTGTCAACGTTTAGTGCGCCTGGCCGCGTTTCTTGCGACGTTTTTTCCGCAATTTTTCGGGGATTTTTAAGATAGCACGCGAAGGAAACGGAGATGTTGACGATCTCGTGAGGCCTGCGCTGAAAATAAAATTCAGTGATGAGACAGGTGAATCTCGCGAACACGATACCTACTCTGCAGACGAAGCAGTCCGGATGCCACTGGCTGTTGAGCGCAGATATATAATTTTCCATGATAGCGCGGTTGCAGCCGCCGCACTTGGGCGCAAACATGTCGAAATAGTCCTCGCGGCAGTAGGGCTTGCCGTCCCGCTCGTGAAAACCTTCCTCGCCAAACTGCTTACCGCACTGGGCGCAGAAGAAGTGTTCGGTATGCCAAGTCTTCTCCAGGGCGGTCACACATTTCTGGAAGGAAAACCAGTTTTCTCGCATTCACGAGCGAATTTACAAGATGAAACATTTGAGGCATTCAGGAAAAGAGTATAGATTAACCTAGAGATGATTGATTGACCTCTCTTGGTTTTTCTCTCTGTCATAATCGGCATAGCTATAATCTGGAAAAAGAGCTCCGTTAAACTGAAGTTTGTTACTTCAAATTGTAAATGTTCTGAATTTATTTTAAGAATATTAAAGTTCTCAGACATTCCATGAATGCTAAATGACAAAAATTGCAAGACTTTGCTTTTTATTATTTCCTCTTCACGAGATATTCTTCGTCTTTGCACTTGGACAGAATCCACGAAATTACAGGTTTATTCTGTCAAAATGCTCTGTAACACTGTATCTCTATAAGCTATGTAGAGCAAGAGAGAAAAAGCAAAAAGGAGGAAGAGCTACAGAGCTACTGAGTTCATAGCGCAAAAATTTTCTTACAGAATATACTCCTTATACTCTTTCCCTTAAAAGCCCCGAGAACACTCCTGCGATCCTTACATCGAGAATAGGCCCGTTGCAGTAAGCGCAACGAGGTGAGAACAAGTTATGATAGTCTGTTTCGCAGTAAGGGTGGCCCTCCCTTTCGAAGAAATTCCGCGTGCCCAACTCCTGGTTGCAGTGGGTGCATGTGAAGTGCTCCGGATGCCACGTCTTGCCCAAGGCCGTTATCACCTGTGCAGCAAGAACATTATTAAGTTAAAGGGAATATTCGATCGCCAGATATTAAATCAGCTTTCAGGAATCACGACGAGGCTGAGGGCTACCTGGCCCACGATGGGCTTCTCGCAGGCGTTGCAGCATCCCTTCTGGGTCGTGTTGACTCCTTGGCGGCTCATGTCGGCCTGGAGATTGCCGAGCATAGAATCCAACTGGTTCTGCTTGAGAGGTTGGCTCTCACCCGGATGATAGAGATGGGTCGTGTGGGTCTCAGTGATATGGACACGGGTCTGTGTCCCCTCGGTGGGCAAAGGGCTCTGCGAACTCTTGGTGGCTTTGTTGGGCTTCGCGTACGGTGAGTCAGTCACCGTCTGGTGCTGATGGGTGCCGCTATTGATCTGCAAAGACACGGATCGTAGGGTCGAGCGTAAAAATCCGGGTGACGACTCTCTATTCGAGAAATTGAGACTGAATTGCGACGCGGGCGCTTCGGTCCCGATGGAGTTGAGAAAATGGGACGATGAGGAATTGAAAGGTTTTTTTTTGTCTCGTAGCCTCTTTATTCTCCCATTGTTCGTTATTCTAAAGCGTAAAAAGAATTTCCCCAGTCTCGAGACCGATAATCTCAATTTCTCGAAAAGTCAAGATAGTCACACTCGTCGCACTGAACCCTCGAAAAGAGAAGGATGTACAATTGCCCGCGTAATTCTATGAGTCTGTATGTACGTGTGTCCAAGTGTGAAGAGGGATCGCGATACGAAGTTTGTTCAAGGTTGAGTATCGCGCGACTGACGCGACGGGCAAGGTGAGAGAAAAGGGTTGGGATGTCAAGGGTGCGAGTCCGCGAGGTGTCGAGTGAAGAGAAATGAAGACCCACGGGCGAGATGGGCGATGTTAAAGGTAGGAGATGTCGATCGCCGCAGGCGAGCTTGCAGACTGGTCGAAAGCCCCGGGTATCTCAGCGGATCGCACCAACGCGCGGGTGCCCCACCTCTCCGTGGCCTCGTCTTCTTGGTCCCCCTTCTTTCGCGGCCGCGGGAAACGGGGGAGATCGGTCGGGAAGGAATATCTAGTGCGACCACGGTAAGAGGTAGTCCCCGGACCCACGGTGGTAGCGAGGTGGTTATTTTCGTAACGCGGGGAGCCAAGAATGGGCAGGAGTGGATCTAACGCCTCGGTGTTTTCCGATTCCGCGGTAAATCAAAGCGGCGAACGTTCAGGGATAGGTGGGACAGCCTGTACCCTGTTTTCTTGACAGCTACGTGTGGATCCGCGTACGGAGGAGTGGAAAACTTACGAGAGGGACAATGGTATACCTCCAAGTTTAATGGTACATCTTGGAACGGTAGACAGATCTTCTAGATGTTTGAACGTTACTTTCAGACCCAGTTATATACACAATGCAGACGAGAAGCAACACAACTCTTTCGGACACGAGATTAAACATAAAAATGCGTGAAAGAGTCCATTCGGCTTCCAGCCAGCAACAAACTCTAGGATTTCTTTGATTTATTTGCCGATTTTATGCTCATTGGTAGCATTTGAGTATAAGGGCTGAAAGCCGACGTGGACACCGAAAGAGCTATTTATTTATATTAGACCCTTTTGGAACGGCGTTCTTTATAACATTTTTTTCAATACATTCGCAATTATATTTTAAACGTTCGAACAATTGGTCTCAATTCGTACGTCTTCCTCTTACAATTAGTTAACTGAAATTATTACGTTTCATTTCTGCAAAATGAAGTATTGAGATACCAGCCGCTCCGTAAGGGTCGCGTTACGCATCGCAATTACATGATTACGTTATGGATGGATGGATACCTTAAATTCGGAAAGCGAAGCCATTAAGTCGTCCAGCTCCTTGGTAGCATTACTCGCGGTATGACCGTTAGGGTAACTCCTGTGAACCTCGGTTCGACTCAGCGAGCCATGCTGACTGGAGGGATAGCCGTCGTAGACCGGCTGTATTTCTGTAGACGTCTCTTGTATGGTGACTCTCACCTTTCCGTCGGCGGGGTAATCTCTGCTCGAAGAGGGGGAGAAAGGGACAACAGTTTTACCGAGCTCGCGAATTGTCTTGGAGACCGTGAGACCCCCGTTAATCGCCGGCGAGTTCGATATTCTACGGTGTCGCGGCGGTCGGGCGACAACTGTCCAAGTCTGAACTCGTCGGGATTACAATAATCAACTCAATCACGAAATTATTAATTGCGAGAGCCCGATGTTTAAAAGCAGCCTGCTCAATATGCAGCTCTTGCGTTGTTTTGGGATTAATTTGCAACTTCGCACACAGAAAGCTCACCCATTAGGCACTGCGGTGCTTAGCTCCTCGAGCAACGAGTCGACAGTGGGTCGAGAGGCTGACATGCTACTTGGAGAACGGAGCATGGGGCTGGTCGCACCCCCGTTCACTCCTGTCGTGGACGCGCGGTTGTCTACAATCATCGAGCAACTCTGTGCGATAAACCGATCATGTGAAACTGCCTTTGACCTTTCCCGAAAGGCTTGACAATACGTGGAAAAAAAACAGCACGTTACCAAAATGATTTCTTATGGATTCGTTTTTTGCAAATCTAAAGGTTTTTATTCAACAATTTTTATTGATCCTCTTCTTAGTAAACGACCTTCGATTAATTTATTTTTTTTATAAAATTGCGAGCTAAAACTTTGCATTGTACCGAATAAAACTTGATTGGAAGACAAGATATCGTCGGTCTTAAAACCGAATCACACTAGCAATTGCCGACACGGATTGGATTGGGATTGATGATTGACGATTGTCCTCTAGCCAATAAAAGCCGATTAAATCGCTGGTTGCTTTGCTCTCACTGGCTAGAAGATAATCGCCAATCCAATCCGCGCCGACAATTGCTAGTCTGATTCGGCCTTTACTCGCGTTTGTAAGAGATTCTGTGAAGAAAACTTTTTATATTTTACACCGCGTGTGATTTGCTTTTACAGAGAGATATGACGTGCAAGGAATTGTCCGGAGCCTTGCCCGTCGAAAAATGAAATTGACCGTTCGGGAAAGGGTTAAGAGTTTAAATAATAGTCAACCTCGTTCTTGGTAGTGGGCATTGTAACGCGCGTTGCTCAGGTCTTGCAGGAGGGTGTCCAGCTCGGAAAGATTGTTATTGAGGGAAGGCATCTTGCTCCCGGTGCTGGCCTGGGTGTAAGACGCGCCTCCAGTTTTACCCATGGTTTCCTCTATCGCCTCGCGGTTCTGATAAGTCGGCTACAACAACATTTGGAAAAAGCCGCGATGAAGCGATTAACGGTTTCGAGCTCGTTCGTATCATGTAAATGCGTCCATCAAAGACACTGATCCTTCTGTCAATTTTATAACGAAAGAAATTGCCTTGAAAAAATCATGTAATATTTCATTGATAATTTTTTTTCATAAGAAGTTCACGTCTTAAAGCAGTTATTTGTATTAATTTGGTGTTTATTGTTGACCACGCGATTTTGAGTATAAAGCCCTAAAATGATATAGAGTTAACTACCAGTTTAAATTACGGCTTTCAATATCGAGAAGTGTCGAAAGTTGTTAGAAGCATTAATGAAACAATTAGGAGGATTTCTTTGAATGAATGGACAGCGTTCGAATGGGGACGACTCGAACGACTTTCTGCGTTCACCCAAGTGCTCTTGGCTTGTTAATCGACAAAAAGCAATAGTCTGCCAAGTTTCCGCAAAGTGCCATTATTATTTAGAAACATGATGTCACTAGAATCATTATGCGGCGCGTGTGGAACATCGTCGTTCAGGACATGCGTTTTTAGTCCCGACAGAGTCAATTTTAGATCGCTTTTAGTCGCGAGGGTAAATATCCTAAAAATACAATCGCAATCACGTGTTCCTTCTGCTCACATGATAGATGTTTGATAATAATATTAAATCAGATTCATTGGAAAACATAAGGAAATCCTTAACGTGTCATATGCAACAATATATGAATGCAATTTATAATATTTATATAAACTCGTGTCATTATGCAAAATGAGTTTTATTTTTAATGATGTTAAACATTTTGTACGTAACGTTTGTCCACATCTGTCGACGTTAATGTTCGTAACGTCAACGTTAAAGATATGTTTTAATAAGCAAATCAAAGATATTCAAATTACAAAATTGGCAACTCGCGAGAAGCCGCTCCGACTTGTTTACCGAAATTAAATTTGATGCTTGACGTCAGGCTAATCGATGGCCAAATGCGAACGGCAACCATCCGTAACGATAAATTGGAGCTATTACGAGTCTTTGAACCGGACTCGCAAATGATGCGTAACGAAAGTAGCGCAATTGTGGTTGGTCCCCGAATCCCCCCTGCATAAAACCAAATCGCCACTTTACGCCGGTTATTCTCCTCTCTGTTTAAACCGCAGGACATTAATAGACATCTATTATCGTCGGTGTGCTGAAAACTTAATTGTCGAGTTTATATTCGAAGTACGTAAAATTGGTTTCTTTAGCTTCTTTCAACGCGTTTATCGCAACTGTCGCGCTTACGTTCATATTTCGACATACCTTTTACAATTATCGTAAGACCGTATCGTAATATTGAAACAAGTTTCGGGATTTTTGCATACCGAATAAATTGCGAGCTTTCAAATAACCAAAATAATTAATCCAAAAATAATTACAGCTGAGTTTCTGCGAACAAGGACAACGAGATATACTCCCGCGCAACTGTATTTCTTTTTTTTTTGCAATAGAGCAATATCACGGCGCGTCATCCTGCTGGACGGAAACTGGGTTAAACGCTGAGTTGTCGGCCTAAAAATATATCCGCGGTAAGCCAACAGAAACACGCTAGCAAGACGTATCGGCGCTTAGCGTGGAAATTTCGGCGGCGACATCATTATTAACGCGACGCAGCATCCGCAGGGATCCCTCGTACGATCTTTACACTATTTCACGCACGCGAGACGCATAATTTGCCAAGTTATCGGTAGAATGTTTTCTTTACCGTTTGTTTCTCGTAGTAAAAATTAACGTTTTCCACGTGTCTTCTCGCGATGTCGCCGCGGAAACAAGAAGTCACAGCGAAGTCGACGTTACATCAAAATTCGTGGCACACAACGATTGTCAAAAGTCATATATGAATCGTGGTAGAAAATTGATTAAATTATGATTTTGAAATTTGGAGATGCTCCCAAGGAGAACAGAAAAGACAAAATAATGTCAATTTGACGTCATATTAATCCCATCGTGACCAGAATGCGACGTAAATTTGATCAACGTGAAGTCAAATTAACATTTTGATTTTCTGTTCTGCTTGGACTGTTTGACACGGGTTCGCGATAATTTAAACAAGTGGATTATTTACGATATTCGTAACGGAGAACTTAAATATATTAATAATGGATACAAAATGTCTTTTTTATAAAACTGATACTAACGTGACAAGAATGTGATTTGTTTGATAAAGTGCAGTTCACTATTTTAAGATTTGTATTCTTCAACTGTTATTTTAATCATTTCGCATGCACGAGCGAAATGATCGGTGTGTTATCTCGGCGAAAATATAAATATAAAAAAGTGAAACTGCGTTTCATCAAAAGCGTTAATTATAATTTGATTTCCTAGAAACGATTAACTTTTTCGTGTCGACTCGACTTTTAAATGACTTTTTGTTCCACTTGGACATCTATTAAGCAAGAATAACCAATTTACTAAGAAGAAACAATTTATTATACACGTCATTTGCAATAAAAAATTGTGTCGATTCCTTCGAAACTTTCCGCTGGCTTCGTCTCGCGAGTGAAGCGGTGCTTGTTGGAGATACACGCGCGCGTTCAGCATCTGCGGTGCTCCGATCCGTCGCGGTCACGTGCTCGCGTTGTTACCACATTCGGCGGCGTTTATGCAACGGGGTGCACCAGTAGATGCGGATGCGTCGCGAATCGCGTTCTGGAATCGCGTACTGGCGCGTGCGGGCTAAATTCGCACGTCAAAGGGAAAGCTCGTGCAGTCCGCGCGACCTTCGTCGAGCCGGTAGGATTTAGCACACGAACAGTAGGAAATGGTTATTGCCACTGTCGACATAACTCGACATAACACCCGAGACGTTATTTAGCATCATGTCGTGCAATTGCGCGTTGATCTACGTTGCGAAGAACAACGTCGAAATAGAAAAGCTCAGAGATATCTCATTGTCAGATTGATAAGAAATTTATCATCAGGAATAACTTTTTACTTTATAATAAATTATCTGACAATTAATCATTAAAAGATTATATATTTTTTATTAATTTTGTAGATTAATCATTGACCGTCTTAAAAACAAAACACGTATTTTTTTTAATTATCGATTATCTTATCTCTATTTTTAAATCACTTTTATTATATTATACGTACATAATATTTATCGGCTGATGAAAATTCCATGTAATCGAAACGTTATTAAACGATAATAAACAATATTATATTTGCTATTTTTGTTTTGCTCGTGTAATGTCGTCTTCTTTTTATTAAAAAGAGAAAAATAAACATGACAGATATAAACACAAGTTTTTGCCACTTAAAACTGATAATATAGGAAATTTTATGCGGTGTAATTTTTAAATCAAAGATTATAACATCTGCGCGTCGAAACGTCTTGTGCGTTTCGCGAAACAAGCTCGCCGAAAATTTCGCCTACTTGGCCGTCGCGAAAATAGGTCTCGGACTGTATCGAAACTGGATCGCGTCACATCCGAGAATGACGGCCGCAGTGCAAACTTGATGACAGATCGATGCGGTAACGACGCGCTCCGAGAAGAGTAATGTGAACGGGGTGCAATTTATGGGAGGGCGATTTGTTAGGTGCAGCGGAGACAGCTGTCGGAAATTCTTGAACTGTCCTAACTCGTCAATCCTAAAACAGTTTAACACGTCTGTGAACCTGGTTCGACCTTGGTTCCACCTTGGAAAATTTGAAAAAATAAGCGCAGTTTCGGTTGCCCCCCCCTTCCCTCGAAGATTTCTAGAGCTCTTAGTCGAATTTATAGAAAGAGTTCCGTCGATTAAAGCCGTAAAAACAACATTTGAAGGAATGGAGAGGGTGCAACTTTACGATTCCACACAGAGAAAACGATTGCTTTGGATTTAATAAATTTTGTTGTATCTAAACAAATTTTATATTTGAAATAGTCCAAACAAATCATTTGTTTAAACTTGAAATAATATATATTATATCTTCGTCTGAAACAAAAAATATTTGTTTGAAGTAAAATATATATTCTCTGTGATCTAAATGATATTATTGTCTTATTCAAGCAACATTATCGTTTGATAGAAAATATGTGAAAAAATGTACCTTTCTGAGTCTAGACAGAGACGTTTCACGACATGAATTAAAGGCAGACAAACTTTACAAAGTGAAATGTGAATTACATTCTTATGAGGATGACAGGAAACAACTAACACTGAGTCGAATATGATAAGTAATGATAAATATAAGGATAAATGTAATCAAGATACATTTTTAATTACGTTTATAGAAATATATAATTTAATTGACACATTAATTCAAGGATTGCCGTTGCTGTATAATTGATCGAACTCATTTAAATAATTCAAACGACAAGTATCACGATCGCTATACAACTATCTAGACTTTAAAGAAGTTCATTGACCTAAAGTAGGGCGTTCTCCTCCATTGTTTCTACGCGAGCGATGCTAAACAGAGAAAGTGGATGACCAGCTCGGAAGTGACAAATGCATCATTTTTCACATCGTTTTGGTTATCATTTAAATCAATTAACTGTTCTTGTCCCCATTAGACATATTTGTAGACTTGAGCATTTAATGTATCCACAATTCATCTCGGGCGTTAAAGAAACATCAAATGTAAAAAATCACCTTTAAACTTTATCCCTCTTCCTATTAAAAAATGTCAAGAAAGTACCGACCTTTCCTTTTGATTGAAAATAAAGTATCCGTAGGAAGAGCTAAATGCGGAACGTTTCTATTGCTCGTACGTCCTCCACTGCAAAATGCATCGAAATCGATTCTCGTTTGTCTGCACAGCGATGGACAGAATGGTCGCGACACTTTTTCTTTTAAATGAATTTAGGAACGTGCGTTTAGATGGAGGGTTTCCAAATCTTCTTCTCCGAGGGATATTTTACTCGATGGCCATTTCGAGACAATTTTGAGCGTTTCTGATTTATTTCCCGAGTTCCTAAACTCGTTAAAAAAAAACAGTGTCGCAACCATTCTGTCCACCACTGTACCTCAATTCTAGTTTCA